AGACTCCTTTTCCCAAATGCAAGCAAACAGATCGGACAAGCGCTGACTGAGGACTTCACCGCCGTCTTTGAACAGTGCGGGTGGAAGGTCATCCGGACCGGGAGCTCGGTGGCGCTTGAGAGAACATATGCAGTCGTTAACTTCCTGCAAACCTCCGAGTTGATTTGCCCTCATCGCGCTTGACTGGCGACACAAGAGAGGACGCCTGCCAACATCAACGGACTACCTTTCGTCAGTTTCTAGCGGAATTGGCAGCTGTGCTTTTGAGCATCGGAACGCAAACAGAGGCTTAACGGAAAAAAAGCGTTTGCAAGGCAGGATGCATAGTTCTTAAGGGTCAGTAGATGTTGCGAAATACCGAACATTTCAAATTAGTTACAGTTCGAGGCCTGTGCACAGCAGCAGCAGCAGAGAAAAACGAGGGGTGAAAATCGGGCTGAACATGAGGGAGCAGGTTATGAGGAGAGGGAGAGGACCACTCACGTGACGCTTCAAACAATACAGCTGTGTCTGAACACTGAGCAATTCCTTCAGCTTTCGATGCACATCTTCAATCTAAAAATTCGGAAAAAAGATCATTATCGCAGAAATTAGGAGAACCAACAAAGCCATTCAAAACTCCCTCGGATGAACCAAGTCTCAGTATAATTCTGTACCGGCGGGTATCAGACCTTTACAGCGTCCAGTGGTGTTTTGCACCACTGGGCTGGGATACTGCCAGGTTCCCGAACCTACACAGGACCGGTCGTCATGCAGAGGTCAGGTTCGAACCCTTGGTATTCCGGTCAGCAAGGTCGTACTTCAACCAATGAGCCTTGCGATGGGTGCGAAGCTCATGCCACAGCAAACGAGCGTCTCAAATATGCTTTTAAGAGCTGGCAAACAGTCTTCAACTGGGGAAACGATACTGTATTTCAAAGCCTTGGTTAGAAACTCAAGTTGGAACAGTCCCTTCCTTCATAGCTATCATGTAACCCAAGGATAGAATGCTGCCTGTCATGTATCAAAGGACGCCAGCCGGGATATTGAAAGTGCAAATGGAACACGCAACTTTCGTGTCTTCGCACGTGCAAAGTGCCACAATAGCAGACAGGGGAGCCACAGTTTAAGGCTTGTGTTAACACTAACGAGATTTGCATCACAACCTCGGGGGACGAGATGGACCAAGTGGTTAGAGCGAGAATTTAATGACCGGAAGGTCCGTGGTTCCAACCTGACCTCTGCCACTCGACTTCCCCTGTCTAGGCTTGGGCAACCTGGCAGTATCCCAGCCCTCGTGCTCCCTCCGGGTGGCATGGCAGCCAGGCACCGGAAGGGTGTTAAAGCTGAACGGTTTTTTTTTCGGTCATCACAACCTCGCTAGTGTTCTGGCTTCCTTGTCTACCCGTACCAAGGTGGGCTTCGCAGTCTGATTCGACCGCAGAACAACAGTGTTCTCATTTCTCCGGATAAACATCCACAAAGCTCTCCAAATTTGTAGACATTATCGAAAATGTGAAATCGGCGAACTGCTACCAAGAGTATAAGATACTAACAAGGATTATCTTGAAATCCGATGTCTTGAAATTTGGACGAAAGTATGAGTCACGAAGAAACTGGACCTTACCGTGGTGTGACGGTTTGCGCACCTCATCGACCCATTGAGCTATACTGGAGAGTGTCCCGCGACACTCACAGAGTCTCTCATACCAGGTCGGTCAATGGTTAGAGGTCTGACGAACACAGTCTCCTGGCCCTCCATGTTGGGGGTTGGAACATGTGGCGACTTGTTCCGTAGAAAAGGTAATGCATTTGCATTTCCCGCCAAACACCGCTGCCTTGCGGTTAGGCTTTTGAGCCAAAGGCTTTGGTTGAGGGCCCTAATCGTCCTCCTGTCTAGGTGTGGGCGCCCTGGCAGTATCCCAGCCCTCGTACAACCATGTACGGCAGTGAAGCATCGGTGTTGAACACTGATGTCATGCTGTCGATGATGATGATGATGAACGAACGGACGGCCGGGGGGTTCTTTCCTTTTAAACTAAATGAATTTACAAAAACCCTCCTGCTAGCAACTAACATTATTGTCATTACCACCACAGTAGTCATAATCGAATAGTGACAACACTAACAACTAAAACAATCATAAAGATAGCAATTATGTTACGGCGGTGAGAGAGGCGAGATGGCTCAGTGGTTAGAGCGCGGACTCGCCGACCCGAATGTCCGTGGTTCGAACCCGACCTCTATCTCTCGACTTCTCTTGTCTAAACTTGGGCAACATGGCAGTATCCCAGCTCTCATGCTTCTTTCGGGTGGTACCGAAAGAGTATTACAGCTGAACGATTATCTTTTTTACCTTTTTACGGCACTGAGGCCAGACACCTTTAACGAGCCCTACCGAATCTTTAGTTCTTAAGAAATCAACCGACGTAATTCACATACGTCAAGGGAAGGGAACCAAACAAGATGGGCTAGTCCGGATGTTCAGCAAGTGTTGGAAGCCAAACTCACCTGCAAGACTGTGTCGTTGCTCGGCTTGATTCCACCCAATTCGAGGACACTGGAAGATGAGGAAAAAAAGAATTATTCTGCAGGAGCACGACAAAGTGGGATCATAAGAATAACGATCATAAAAATCATTCACCGGTAACATCCTTTCGGTGCCTAGCTGCTATTCTACCCGAATGAAGCTGCTCAAGACTAGACAGACGGACGCAGTCGAGATGGGTTCGAACCAGAGACCTTCCGATGAGTAGGTTCAGGCTCTAACTTTAAGCCATCTTGAACTCGACGGAATCAGATGATTTTGACAGCAGGCCAAATGCGAGCAAGTAACCGTACGAAAATCCCCAGAGCTACAGAGACAGAGTTATGGAAATTCGCTACACAGGCCTACCGATTATGGGGTAACGACACAGCATTTTTCACTCACACACACACACA